GCATTTCTATTTCACATGCGCCCAGCATGCTTGAGTTCCAATTCTGCATGCCACTGTTACAGAATTTCATTTTCTGTATAGAAGACTTGTGGTGGTCAATGGCTTTACTTTGGGGCAGCCTATGAGGCACCCACTCATCCCAGGGTATGGTCAATATATATGTAGAACAGACCTATGAGGATCCAATATCATGAAGGCATCTAAGAAAACTCCATGTGACAAGAGCAAAAATTTTGAAAAATAAACTAGTGGAGATGCCAGGTAGCTGAATAAACGGCCTGTTTCTTGAACACAGTTCAAGACCTAGAAATCACAAACAAGATACTGGATGAATCACTAAGTTAGCAATAACCAGCAGCCAACAGATTATCCAGGCTCTTTTCCTGCTAATAATGCCTGGAGTACAACTCCTAGTAGCAGGTGATATACATGAACCCCCAAGCACACCTCAGTGAGTAATCCAATTCCAAAAGCACAACACAGGAATCAGGGCAGACAACAGTGCTATGCTATGATCTCAGACCAGTTAAGGCTTTCATGCTTTAACTCTCCAAAACTTCTAAGTGAGCTGGAAATATCTGTGTGGAGGAGTATGGGCAGATTTCTTACCCACGTGTCCCAGCTCCTGCATCACGGGCTGTAGACCTGGGAAAGACTCATGAACGCTGCATAACAACTGACAGATCTTGATGGCAGGAACAGATTTCTCCTGTGCTGTGTTCAGAGCTGCTTTCAAGGAGGCCTCTGAAGTTTCTTTCTGAGAGGAAATGCTTAGTAGCTAAGGAAACACAACACAGAAAAAGTTATGTTGCAGAAAGCTGGAGACTGGGGAGAAAGGTTCTCAACCATTCTTGCACTGTTTGGAACCCACTGAGAAACAGAAGATCAAGCCTCCCCCAGAAGCGTGAAGCCCTTCCTTTGGCAAATACTGTATTTTGACCATTCGATGACTTCTGGCCAGCTGAAATATTTCTGGGATTAAAAAAAAAAGAAATTCCACTGATTGAAGTTCCCAGACCTGCTGCTTGTGTGTCAAGCTACCACCAGTACCCTGAGAAACTAGGGATCTTCTCAATGTCCAACATCTCACTTACTGTGGGGCTAACAATAGACATTGCTAGCGAACTGATAACTTTGGTTTTTCTTTGGTGGACAGATACGATGCTTTAGAGCGGTGGTCAACAATGTTTTCTGGTGGTGGGCCAAAATGACCCAGCTTGGGTCTGCAGCAGGCCAGTGCTAGGACCTGGCTGCTGCTGCTTCTTTTCCCCACACAAATATGGTGCAGGTGAAGCCCCCCAACTACCAAATGCCATCAAAGTCTCCCAGCTCCAGAGGCTGAATCTAATGGTTCCACAAGCCAGATCGAGCCCAAGGACTGTAGGTTGCCAACCCCAGCTTTCTTATTAAGCTAAACCATTCCAATTACGTTTGGGCTTTTCTTCTCCTTTAATCTTGAACCAATGGTACTGAAGCCATTGTTCCATTTCTTAGCCACAGAAACACAAACTGCTGATGGTACAAACAGCAGCATGGAAATAGCTGATAACATTTCTAGGGAGTCCTTTTGGGCCAGGGCATTATTGATGATCCGGGTGTTCCATCTTCAGATATGTTTAGTTCGGATAACTCTATAAAAGCAGAACTGAGTGGCTGTAGACTGCTATGTGAATGAATCTCTCAGAGACTGAGGAAGCCAGCAGATTTCTTTGCTTCTCTGCATATATACGGTCTAGTTTCCCTTCCCTAGGACTGAATATCAGGGTGGGCTCCCACTGTTAAAGAGCACCTAAATTCAACAGTTTTGGTAAAGCCAAGTCTAGCCTCAGTATGGTACACTCAACAAGTCCCCTAGGAACCCATCATTCATATCAGGCAGCCTTGAGTCTTCCAGGCTGCATGAAAATCCACACCATGCTAGCCACCTTTATATGGTATTTATGCCACTTTGCAAAGCTGAGTCACAGTTTTACGTCAGGATACCTAGACTTTGCTCAATTGAGCACCCTTTTGGCAATTTCCAGTAGCCCAAGCCTCATGCATAATGTAGATAAAAATGCCTGATATGCCAACATTTCAGTGGAAAGGTATTGCTGAGAACACATGCCCCAGCCCACTGAGCTCTACATAGATCCAAGTAATTTCTGCTTGGAACAGTGCAGGCTAAAATCTGTTGGCATTACAGGCTGCACGTTACATTAGAGTGGAGAACAGCTGTGTGCTGCCACTCTGTCACCCGTTCAGTACCTCTTTTACTGCTTCTGTGAGACCCACTTCTCCTGGAGCCAAGTCCTCTAGTCCAGCTCTCTGCTTGATGGCCTCTGAGATCAGCTTGCTGTGTCTCAGTATTATCTTGATGGCTGTACTTTCACTGGTAGCCACTGAAGGAGTGAAAGCCATTACAAACAATAAAACAAAAAACCTGGGATGTGCCCAAAGAATCCTAGCTTTACTAACCCTGTTCAGCCAACTTCAGAAGACAACCCCTTCTCAGTGGGTGTTCTTCCCTTTAGAAGCAGAGGGAAGTCAAGGACTAAGTTGCAGACTTTATTGGCACTGCCTGTAGCAATGATAACAAAGCCAACTGGATGTGAAGGAGTGATGTAGCTTTCAATGTTTGTCCACTTTGAGATGAAATAAACCTTCTTAAGTATTTTAAAGGAACTCATTCAGAGAGACGTGACCCACTCAAAAAAAATCACTGCACTTCTCTCAAAGACCATTCTATTATCACCAATCGTGTCTAGACTCTTTGCAATTAGAGAAATTAGAAGATAAAATATACTTTTGGTGTGTTTGGTGGGCTCATTGGATACTGTCCCTGTACTGCAAGTCAGCTAGTTGAACCTTTCTCTGGTTTGTATGAGATTTTCACTCAGCAAATGGAGACGAATGCATTTTTCCTGTAGAAAAATGTGATCACAGAATGGAAAATTTGCAGGAAGGCTCAGGAATAGGGTTAAGGCGCTCATGAGCTCATGTTTTCAGTCTCATAGGATTTCAGCCTGATGGCATTTCTGGAATTCTTAATATGATTGACAGCCAGGGAGGGAAGTAGAAGGACTCCATTTCTGTTGTCTGGCAAGGATCACAGGGTCACAAAAAAAGGCAGGCATCCTCCCTCTCTGCCAAAGCTTCCTCCCTTTCTAGGGCCAAATGCTGCACCAGTTAATTCAGTAAAAAACAGTTCTGTCTCCTATCCTGTGTTCCATTACTTCTCCTTGCAATAAACAATGCACTGGGATGATGCTTGCATTACACAGTACCAGAAGGAAAGTTGTTTCTTTGGTATTTCCAGTCCCATCTACATGTATCGTATCCTGGACGTGGCTCAAGAAAAATGGCCTAACACTACATTTCCAGCTCAGTGCGCAAATCCAGGGAATTTGGACAAGCAGTCCAGGGTTTAGATGGTCAGCATTTAGATAAGCATCTGTGCCTGATGCTTTGATGTGCTTAGTCATCACTTGACTGGCAAGTTTAATGTACCTCCGCTGCTAGGGAAAGGGAAAGGCACAAGAAGATCCAGTGGGATCAATGAGGATCTGGAGGAATCTATTGATAAAGCAGCTCTATCCGGAGTCTGACAGCATTACCTGTTTTGAAAAAAAGGTCTGCTCCTGGCTCCTTCTGAATTTCCTTGATGAGTGCGTTCAGTGGATATTCTGCCCCTCGCAGTTCCAACAGCAGCTGCCAAATGGTACTCACAGACAGAGCCTGGCCTTCCAGCGCTGCGGAGACCAGCGAGCTGAAACCACCCACGCCAGGTGCAAGCTTCACTATCCGTTCCATTACCTTCAAATGACCAGCACCAAGGTATTAATGAGAAAATGACCAGCACCAAGGTATTAATGAGAGATGACTGTCTATCTGCCCATTCATGGATTAGCCAACTGTCACTCTGCCTGCTAGAGTCTGTTTTTCAGTACTATAGTCCCTGCCATGCTGTGGACTAGGAACATGAGTCAAGAAAGCAAACAGGCTTTCCAAGGATAAGCTAAACCATGCACACACAGGCCACACTAAGTCAGGCAGAAATAGAAGCCATTTCCTGAGACTTGCAGCAAATGGTTGCTCTTTGGTGACTTTTAGGTTTGGATGTAGAGATGGGTTTTTTTTGCTGCAGCACATGGATGCTAAAGACATCTTAACCCGACTTCAGCAACAACACAACTCTCAAGACTGCTGCAACGATGAACGATACAATCAGGTGCTCTCTGGTCTTTTACATGCAGATGTAAAACAGACTATCCACTCACCTCTTTCTCTCCAGGAGCTATGTTTTGTGCACCTGAGATCCCTTGCAGCAACATCTGGGAATCTTTGAAGAGCTCTGCAAAGTTTTCTTGATATTGTCTTAATAGTTCAGTCCCATAATCCTCTGGGCTCCATTTGGCTGAATGCAAATGAATAAAAACAGTATCTGCTCACTATCATGCATCATTCTGAAGCATCTTTCCTACTCAAAGTTAAAGGGCAAATACAAATAAGAAACCAGACTGGGGCCTCAATAGCACACTAAGCTGTTACAACGAATCTGGTTTTGAATCCAAGAGCTGAATACAAGTAATAAATGCTTTGCGGTTCCAGACACCATTTGTTTGCAATTCTTTCATGATACAGGCTGGAAGAAGAGCAGATTCTCCGCATGAGAGGGTTGGGAGTCAAACAGTAAGGGCATGGATCATGTCTGAGGTATGCTGCTAGTGCTGTACTGAAATAGCAGTCAGTAAGTATAGCCTGCAGGGAGTGCTGTATATCAGATGCATAGTGCATTGAGCTAATTGGAGCCCACTGCTTAGCCAACCCAATTGCCATTAGTCATTCATTTCATCACTTATGTATATAAAAAAAGATGACAGTTTAGATAAAGGGTCAGCAACCTATGGTCTGCAGGCTGGGTCCAGCTCAACAAGAGGTCCGATCTGGCCTGTGGAGACAATCCAGCACGGGGGACTGATCTCACGGAGTTGTGCCGTGCCAACCCTCCACTCTGCAGCATTCCCCTTTGCTGTGAAGCCTACTGCCCAGACTTCTGACCCACAGTGACAGCCATGTTGTAGGCTCTGACCCACACCAGCAAAAGGCTGATGACCCCCAATCTGGATTGTACATTGTGCACATATAAAAATTGCTCTTTTGGTTGCATACCATATTTTTAGCATCTTCAAAGAATCAGACACAGTCCTAGCACAAAAGATCAAAGGCCTGGTTTCTGCACAAGGCCAGTGGACCGATCTAAACTAGGACATGAAGACAATACGGCAAGGAGATTTTCAGTCTCTCAATTCCCCTGCTGGTAGGCTCTATCGCGGATTTTTGGATGTAGATATACTGAGAGAGCCTATGCTCTGTAATAAAAAGACTCTGACACCCTGGTGCGAAGCTTCTCTGGACTGTATCCTTCTTCAAAGAGTGCAAGTATTAAATATACCAACATTTACCAAAGATCCAAATGTCCACAGTTCAATATAATTTACAATGATGTGGGTTGGGTTATCTTTGATAAATATAGGGGGGGGAGGTGGAACCCAACTCTGGATTACAAGAAGGCATTTTTAAAAAAAGTGTTAAAGAATCAGGAAATAGCCACAATGTAATTAAGATGTCAATGTGACCTTGGAATAGAGTTGGCTGAGTATTTTAGGTGAATAAAGATGGTTTGATCTTCTGAAAAGTATTTAGCAATTTCTACAAACTCTACCCAAACGTATTAAATAATCATAGGTGAAAATAATTTTCTCAAGGCTAGATTTACAAAACTGGAGAAAGAGGTGTTCATAGCCCACTCTCTCCCTCCCTCTATTTTCAAGGTAAAAAAAAATTGTGCTTTTATTTATTCAAGCTTCAATTTAAGAAGATTCAACTCTATGTAATTAAGGAATGCTCCTCCCCGAAATGGGTATTACCACTAGATCATTAACTAAGTTGGGTGTCTGGTGTTTCAAGGGAAGCAATGGTGCTTAACAAATCACAATGCAAACTGCTTGCCTGGAATGTTTGCTACACAGGGAAGTATCAGTATTACAAGCACAATTTTGCTTTCTGAAAAACGCTCATTTATATTTCACCGCATTTTAATTTCATTTTTTATCTTTTTAAGTAACTTCAGACCAGTAAAAGATGCTGGCCTACCTAAATTCAGGAGTGAAATGGTCCTCATTAACTAAAAAGGTTTCACAATGTTCAAACAACCTCAAGTCCCATGGGGGAAATTAATGGGGGAAAAACCAAGAATGTGTGTGTAGGGAGGAAGGTAGGTCAATGATTTCAGATGAGGATATCAGATGGAGAGGAAGTGCAAGGTGTAAGGGGTTGCTGCCCAGAGGTGTGCTGCCTGGATGTGTCAGACAATCATGGACCCTGGGTAGGCATGCTACCACGAAGAACTTCTCCATTAATCGTACGTTTCCTGGACTGATGGACAGCCATCTTGGTCACTGCTTGAAAGAGGCTGACAAGGAGATCCTGCAGCTTTATGGTGCCCAGAACAGAGAGAGAATAAAGGGAGAGATGACCAGGGAGAGTGAGTGCATCCATAACTATATCAAGAAGGGTTGGAGGAGCCAGAATAAGGGCTGAAACTTAGCAAACAGGGAGAAGGCATATACCTTGGCCTCCCATACTTGAGACAGGGACGTACTACCTGCCAGAGTGAAAGCGGACTTTACCCTCCATCCACCAGTCCACCTTTTGTCTTCCACTGGAGACTGCCAGATGGGGACCGACTGCTGTCAGTGACACTGGCATGCATCCAAAAGGACTTGGGCTACCAACTTATTGCAACAGGCCAACAAACCGGGGTTAGCTATAAAGGAATTAGGAAGATCCATTTTCCACAGTTAGAGTCCACAGAATATCAGTTAGTTCTAATGCATCCTAAGCACCTAAACATTGAAGCCTCAGAGCTCTCTCATTGCATCCCATTGCATTTATCTCTAATTAAACTACAGGACAATAGATGTAATGGAATTAAAGCAAACTACTCAGCTCCTTAGCCAAAGGCACTGCATAAATGCCTACCAAATACACTTGCAGGCCCAAAACCAAACACTAATAGTAAGCAGACTTATGCAGACACAGGTAGCCACATAATTTGGGCCACTGCTGTTGATTTTAGATCCTACTCACTTGCGCACAACTTAACCTGTCCTGAGTTTCCTCAAAACAGATCAGATCCAGCCACTCTGCTCTGCTGCCATCCTGTTTTATCAAGGAAAATGTGTAACTCTGTGCAACTCCCCAAAATATTACTTGCAGAAAAAACAAGACTAGCCAGGAGGGAAGGATCAGGAGAAGAAAGAGGAGGACCCTACCATCACTAGGTTTAATAGCCTAGTGATTAAAGCCTTTCTCCAAGGGGTGGGAAACATCAGTTGTAGGACCCAGCACAGCCACAAAGGGTTTTTTTTAATCCTCATCATTGTGCTACGACCAGTCCTTGTGCATGGGAAACCATCTGCTACAAAGATTATAACTTTACCTGTGTCCTGGCCTTGGGTCTTGCTCTGTTCCTGCACATTGTATCTATCTCTAAGTTCTAGAAACCTGATTCAAGCTCAGACAGGCATCCAAACTTAATGGTGGATGATCTGCATGAAGCTACTAATTTAGAAAGGGTGATCCAGTAATACCTTTACTCTCAGACACAACTGCTGCTGCCGCCAAATTGTCTAGCAGAAGGTGCAGATCAGGAAATGCTGCTTTTACAGCCCCAAGTAGTTTGACCAAGCTCTCAGCTTTCAGGGTCTTCTCTTCCACCACCTTCCTAAGCAGATTCTCCATTGCCCCACCATGGGAGCTGCCTTCACAGCAATCCAGAATCACCTACAGGAGCAAGGAGATAAAAAAGCAGCCAGTAAAGAGAAGAGTTAAGAGAACATCCTGATGTTTCATAGGTCTGACTGATCTGCAGTGGCCTAGAACACTATGAAATTATACAGAGCTCTAGTAAACACATATCTATTTATCACAGGCCCATACTTTTAGTATTTAAGCTAACGTGCCTTATCCTGGAAAATATGTATAAGCCAGAGGTAGGCAACCTAAGACCCGGGGCCCAGATCCAGCCTGCAGAGCCATTGAATCCAATCCACAGAGCTGGGGGGCTTAAAGCCAACCACTGCTATAGGCGGTTCACTGACCCCTTCTTTGCACAGGGTCAAATTATGTTTCCCATGAAGTCTGGTTCTTAAAACTGGTCAATAAGTGGAAAACACCCCCGCAAAACAGCTGTTTCTGCTGCAGGTTTCAAAATTACTGCTATTTTATTGTAATTTTTTACTGAAACACTTTCCTTTTTGAATATTTTAGTCTTTTTCCCTTACCCAGGCTTGTTTTCTCTTTTCCATTTGCCACTGAAGCAGGGATATGGGGAAAGGGAGAGAAACCTTGCTATTTTAATAAATATTTTATAGGCTGAAGGATTATTTATATGGGCCAGTCATGTGAGACATGCCTCATGCAAGGTATAATCAATATCAAATCACAAGGTTAGAAGAGCTCTGAATACATCAGTATTACAGACACAAAGGACAAATACATTGCATTCAAATGCAAGCAAGATTGAGTCTAAAAATATATCACAACACATAAGAAAGTCTTGTTCAAACAGCAGGTTTTTCATACCCACCACAAAAAGAGCCTTCCACACAAGCACGGCTGCACAAACTGCACAGCTCTGAAGCTACACTTCGTGGTGTTTTGGAACATCATCCTGGAAAAAGCCCTTGGGCAGTGAAGTTCAGTCGCTTGCCATCACAGGCAACCAAGTCATATAAAACTACCAAACTTCAACCCAAAATAGGCTAGGCTTTAGCACCCACTGCTTCTATCAGAAAACTGGCCTGGACACTCCCTCCCTGGATTTCTAGCCTAAATCTGATCATTATTCACATTACATTTATTGTTATGTCCACACCGGCCTCTACATTAAACAGTTCTTCAAAACTCTCTTTAGTGTTCGTCTCCACCCCCTGATGCTTTTCAGGAGAACAATATATTTCCTCTCAGCCTCCATTTTCCTAGGCTGAACAGGCTCATCTCTTTTAGTTTTCTATCATGACAGACTCTCCATTCCCTTGATCAAACCAAGAGTCCTTCTTTATACCTGTCCAGATTTGAATTTATTTTTCCTGAACATGAGTGACTGGAACAGTACCTAGTACTCTAGATAAGGTCTAGTTTTCATCTCTTGCTATTAATTACTAAATTCATGACTCTGCATTCTGCACTATTAAATTTCATTTCTATTCCTTCAGTCTTCCAAGACATCCAATTCTTCTTGTATGATACTCAAATCCTCCTCCATGGGAGTTAACATACTTCCCAATTTTGTACCATCAGCAAATTTCATTAGCACATTGCTCCTTTTTGTACCAAGGTCACTAATGGAACTATTAAATAAAACCAGTCACAGGACCAATCCTATAGGAACGCAACTAGCAACCCCCTTCTCTCCTGATAAGTTCTCTTTTCAGCATAATCTGCAGTCATCTGCCCTTTAGTCAGATCCTCATCTACTTAATAATTCTTGTACTAATCTCTATCTTCTCTGTGTTAACTGATAAATTCCCAAGTGATACCACATCAAATGTTTTACAAAGTGCAGACTGGTACAGTGGATCTCACCCTAGCAAAGGAAGATTTCAGGTTAGTCTGACATAATAATGATACTGTGATACAAACAAATGAATAAATGTAGCATGGATTTATCAGAAGTAAATTCTTTCAAAATGTATTCAGGAGCCTTTAAAAGTGCTAGGCTCAGGCTAACAAATATGCAGTTGTCCAGACCAGTTTGTTTCCTCTTTCTTAAATAGGTTTGCTATTCTTTAGCTACACAGTCCCCTGCTAATTTGGTAGATTTATTAAATATCTTTGCAGTAGTTAAGTATAATGGTTCTTTTAATATTCTGGGATGGAGATTATTCATCTCTACCCCCCACACCTGAGGGCAGTGAACTCTGAGTTTTGGTTTTTCAGCTCAGTTGTGGTATTCCAATAGAATCTGTATTTTTCCTGTAGGGATGGTTTGCAACCCACTTAATTCACAGCAGATTGCTAAATTAGGGACCATCCGCCCAGTTGTTTCCTGCAGCTTTTACTTCAAAGGCCACCATTTCTTTGATCAGCTGGGGGTCATCAGCCTCCCATGCAGCTGATTGGAAAAGTTGCATCCTTTGAAAGAAAAGATACAGCAAACAGCTGGAGCACTTCAGTTGTCTCACTGAGATGTCTGTTGTGGCTCCATATACCCCAGAATACTTTCAAACCCTCATCTTTGCAGGGGGGTTAGGTGCAACAGGGCTGATTGTGTCATTTTAGGAATAGGTTACATAAGGATTTGTATGAGATGGTTTGGACAGGGACGAACCTGCTTAAAGCAGGGGGCTGGACTCTACGTGACTACCATAGGGTCTTTCCAGCCTTACTATGACTCTATAAATTAACCCTGCAAAACACCCAGGCTGTATTGCATTCATTTCCATATCCTCACTGCCATCACTAGTCATTCTACCTCTGCCCCAAAGGGATATTGCCAGTCTCACTGAAAACTGAAGCAAAATTCTGATTTCATTTTTGGGCCGTTCCCTGCTTATCTTTACTTTCTTTCCCCTCTTCACTGCAAAACAGTCCTACTTCTTTTCTTGGTCTCTTTTTATTTATATGTCTAAAGACCATTTTAAAGACTAGCTCAGTTTGATTTTTGGCAATTCACACTTTATCCCTACATTCTTTGTCTTCAGAAAAGTAGGTCTTTTTGTTGGCTAATCCCTTTTTCCATTCCTTACAAGCTGTCTGCTTGCTCCTTAATACCCTGCTTAACTTGGTTATTTACCCGGGTAGGGCTGGATCCCAACCCTACATGTTTTTCCCCTTGCCTGGGAGGCAAATTCTAGATAGTTTGGGTACAGTTGACCTAAGACAACCCAAGCCCTCTTTACATTTAAGTCCTGGAGCCTCACTAACAGGTTCCCCTTAATTCCTCAAAATGTGCCCCTTCAACATAAAAAAAGTCTTAGCTACTGACTTTTTTAGCATTTATTCTTCTGCTTAGTTTAAACTGAATCTGTTGGACAGACTTGAGGCCTCTGCACCTGCCTGTTTTGATAAGGCTTCAGCAAAATCTTGCCTTATGAAGACCTCAGCTTCTGGCAGGCCTCCCTCCCAACTTCACTCACATCCTTCTCTTTAGTTTAATGAGGCCTCGGCTTCTACCCAAGTCCCCCCAACTCCCTCTCCTTTCCTGTAAGGTGATGAAGCTCACTTGGGCTACCAAACATTACAATGAGCAAGGAAGGGATCCTGTGAAACACCAGTACAGAACCACAGAAGCATATAAATTGAAGAGAGGATGTTCCACACATAGGGGCAGCTGTGTGCGCAGAGCACATAAAGAAAATACCTTTCAGATAGCTCTCCAAGGCAACTTGACCAATGAGTCCAGTCTAGAGAGAGTGACAATCTGCTAATCAAGCTAGCAACACTGTCAAAGCAGAGGTTTAATAGTTCCATTAAAACTAAATCTCTGTAGCCCATGGTAATACACTGCTGTCTCTGAGCTTAGCGTAGAGGACTTCCATGGATTCAAAGCACACTAGCTCCAACCCTTCCCCTAAGCACAGCTATGCAGGGTGTTCAGCACCGCATCAGGGGTTGTTCATCTCAGCCCCAAAGTTATGAGTCACATATGTAGTCTATAGGCCATGGAACTAAGTGTGACCTAGAAAACCACGTGATAAGAAGGTGTTTTGCTCACACACTTACACACACACAGAACTTTCCTGTATTTCAGATGTTACCTGCTTTTCCAAACTCGTCAGGAATCCTTCCTCTGCTGTTTCGAGGAACTCGATGATGGGGCTCAGCTGTGTTATGCTCTGGATCAACTCCTCCCTGCATTCCACTAGCAGAGCAGACAGGGTCTTTCCCTGTTCTGTGTTCTCTGTGGGAGAAAGATTTGGAAGTACAAGAAAAGAAAAAAAACAACCACATGAGTCAATGTGAAGTAAGTGACAGCAAGGTATTTTCTCCTGAAGTGAGACAATGAGATTCTGTGAAAGATCTAAGTGAATAGCAAAGCTTAGACTGAGTGCAAGCCGCAGAAGAAAACACTTTATTATTCTCTTTAAACTGTATGAAAGGAAAACGTCTCATTTATCTAACAGAGCACAAAGCTGCAAAGCAAGCTAGAGGTTAACGTCAGGTTTGCAAGGCTACTGCTTTCTGTCAAACAAAAGCAAGAAAAGGAGCTTTCGGTCCTCAGGCACAGTCGAGCATTGACCCATGATGGTCACCCTGCCACTGATGTAGACCTACAGTTAGTGAAGGGCAGAGCGCACTCCTGGGATTGCTCCAATACAGGCGCTGTCAGACATATCCAGTTTGGGAAGTGAAAATGCAAAACCTGATTCCAAAAGGCTAATGATCTGTTAGTGCTGGCAGGTTTATCACATGTGGGCAAGAACTAAGGCTCAAGCAATTTTTCTAGGCTCAAGTACCCTGACCTGCTGGGAGCAGAGCATGGTGGCACCTGTCAAGTATCAAGCTCCTCTGATTGTTTCTGTACAAGGGGAGTACCTGCTCTCCTACCTGTTTGCTGCAGGATCTCTCCACTGTTCTGCTCTCTTTCCAGCAGCACTGCTTTTATCTTGGGACAGGTGTCTTGAAACAGCTTCAGCATGGACATGACAGTCTGAGCATCCAGGCTCTGCTCATCCCTCACCTTGCTGAGCAGTGTCTTGAATCCCGACTGTTCTCCTGCACCTTCCAAACATGCCACTAGTGCCTGCAAAAGCAATAGAAAACATGCCAGCGTGGGTGAATAACCTTCTGCTGGCTTACACAAAGGGCAAAGTACCCTCAGCTATTAAATAACCACAGAATTACAGCCTGCTGATTGGTGAGATGCTGCCTGGAGAAGCGTGTTCCCTCTGGGCACACAAAACTATACTTGGACACAGGAAGTGATCCTTTATTCACTGTGAGCTCTCAGGAAGAAGAGTGACAAGCTCAGTCTGCCAGCTTTTATTCTTCTTGTCAGCTTGACAAATTACAGCTGGCGAGTGGCCCTACTTCACACCTGAATAAGTCTCTTTGGACGTGGCCTCTTCACAAGGAGCCAAATTCCTTTAATGCTGAGGAACCTAATAAAATCTGTTGAAAACGCCATAATTTTGGCAGTTTAAGGCCAGAGCAGGGAATATCAGACTAAAGCGCACAACAAGGAGGCCACTTGTCTTCAGGAAGACAGTGGAGTTGTAAGGCAGACTATCTAAGAATCGCAGTTCTCCTGCCAGAAGCAGACACAGTCCTCATTAAAGCATTTGGGTCTGATCTTCAGAGACATCAAGTGCAGCACCCGTGGCTTTCTCTGGTGGTGTGGACTCTCCACGCGTCTGAAAATCAGGCGCTGGGGTTTTGAAATCTAGCCCTACATCCCGCAATGACACCAGAGGCAAAATGTGCTCATGCAGTTAGGGAAATAAAAGGGGTAAAAAACAAAGCTGGAACTCACTCCCATCTCCCTGGAGTGTTTAAATGCTATAAATGCTGCCCCTGAAGGTACAAGCTCCCTTGTGCTCCAAGAGAGGAGCTAGCCCTTCAGAGCAGGCATCCTTTATGAGAGACCCCAGGGAGGCTATAAAAATACCTTTGAAGTAGAGGACTTGGCGCTGCTCCAGGGAGAACGGCCATTTTGAGCTGTCATTGTCGTTTTTGTTTCTATGATAAAAAGACTGAATAGAGCTGCTTGACGCCCTGCCAGGGGGTGGGCCGTGAACTTGCTTTTCCTACCAGGTGTGAATTCTCATATCGCTGAACCATGTGCCAGTGCAGCGACCTCCTGCAAAGCGCATTCGCAGAGGGAGAGCTGCCTGTGCCCTCGCTCTTACCCTGCTCACAGCATTTTACTGCCAAACAGAGCAACACAGACTACACGGGTTCTTTATAAAGGCACTGCAGGAGGAAAGGCAACACAGCAGACACACAGAAACAGAGATCTTAACGATCTTTAATGGGACGGGTATTTTGTAATAAAAAGCTGATAATGAGATATTGTCCATTCTATAGCCTGGCACACCTGGCCCCTTTCTTAAGGCCCCTCCGTGACAAAGCTGAGGGGCTTGAAGACCTCTCAGGATGGGGCTGTCCCTGTTCAGGCAAGTAATTTGCACTGTTGCTAATTTTTCCAGGATTAAACAGAATTGCTAAGCACAGCTCTAGGTTGCTGAGCGTTCTCAATGGATGTTTTAGTTAATGCTTTTCCAATTTGCTGGCGAGAAGGCAGGCAGACCAGGCGAGATCAGTTTTCTGAAACTGAAAAGTCCTATTGTTCACAGTCTATTTCTGGATCAACCTCTCAGGCACATTCCTCCCTGAGAACTGAAGCCACTCAGTACTTTTAAAATGCTGAATGGTGCGTTATAGAGATATTTACTATTGAAAATGCCTTTTTGTCCTGGAAGGGCTTAAAGCATGCTGCAATTTGACTTGCAGAGCTCCAAATCTTGCCTTACATTTATTCCACATTAAATTTTGAAACCTTTTTCGGTGACAACAAGGTGAGCAAACTGCTGTTAATGATTATAACTCTAGGCTCTCAAACATCACTACACTAGAGATTTCTTTCTTTTCTTTCAAAAAAGATTTCACCCCCTGAAAATCTGTAAAACTCTCATAAATGAACTAGGTTTGCAAGAGTCCTTAACGCCCACCTGCTCCACTGAGAACATTTTTTAAATGTTCTGAATGCCCTCCATCTGGCATAGGTACCTAAATAGTAGCTGAGCGCTTTAAAAAAATAGTCCCAACTAAAGGGAAATCTGGCCCATAAGTGTAGTCAGAACCATTATGATTGCACCACTGGGGTGATCAGGAAAAGGCCCTGTCAGTACAGGTTCATCTCAAGCTATTGTAGATCTGCTGTATCTGGGAAACATCCATTACAGCTATAATGGGCAGCTGGTCCTGTGAATGGTACAGTACTCTGCAGGAGAAACCACAGAACCTGTATGGATCTCCCTGAGTTATAACTTCTGCTGGGATTCCTATTTAAAACTAAACTCAACCAGACAGTAACCATTACCAGGACACTTATCAGCATCAGTAACTTCCTAAAATTTAAGCTGAATCTTTTCACCACCACTACTGAGCATACTCATCCTGAAGGATCGAGTCCTAGCAAGTCTGGGCGAGTCAGTAGGTGGCGGCAAGCAGCATTCTTTAAAAAAGAAAAAGCAATTGCATTGCAATATCCAAAAATAGCCTGGTTACTTCAAATCACATAGGCATTTCCCCCAAATGTTTGGCAAGAAGGGAAATACAAGCATACACACACACACCAGGGCTTAGAACAGGATGCCTTGTACACCTTAACTAAAGAGCTATTCCTTTGAATCCACTGGCATGGGAGATGTGCCTGGATAGCAGTTCCAGAGAAAAGGTAAACAGTGGAGGGATGGCAAAAATGGATCATAGAAAACTATGCAGAAAAAAACCCTACAAGATGTAGGTTATGTTACATGCTGGATTTCCTCCCCAGTCCATTGCATCCCACATACAAACCAAAATACATTTGGTTAACTGACCCTGAACAAGGCAGGTGCTATTTCTGCAAGCTGGTCCTATTTACATTCTCTTGAAGAGAAGCAGCACTCCTAGTTCTAGCCACGCATTGCTGTGAAGTCTCCTCCAACACAAGGTTTGCCATTTGCAAATGAGTGCATTCCACTGGGAAAATTTTAGAGGCATAATGATCAGTCTTCTGTGAAAAGAAGTTGTTGTTTTTTTTATCAAGTAATTTTTGAAGTGCAAGCATTGAAGCAAATGTAAGAGAGTTATTAGAAGCTTGCCACCACAGTGCAGAGTTTTTACCCAGAGAGTACATCAGCACAGACAGCGCAGGGAGTAGTTTTACATATCTGAACTACAGAAAAACAAGCAAACTATAACCAAACCATAAAGTTAATCAGATGCCATGACACATGCTAGTCACAGAGAAAATCTACACATCCAGGTTCACATGGACGGTTCAGAGACCAGGGGTCTTTTCATTTTGCAAACACGTATTCTCACAGATCCCCTGACAAGAGTCCAGCAAATCAATGATGCAGCTTAGAGGATCCCTTGTCCCTATCAGCAAAAAATGGGTCAACCTAGTAACTCTCCAAGCAGGGAAAAGGCCTGGTCAAGGCCAGAACCTCCAGATGGGGTTTTCCACGATGGAGAACATTTTTGTAGCTGTAATTCGACTAAAAAGAGCAAAGTTCTAGACAATTACCCAGTGCTCAGGATGCAGGGGATAACAGAGCCCACACACTCACAGCACTGGCCAGAAATTCCTGCTGCTGCACCAAGATGCCAACAATAATTGGACAGGCCCTTATACAATGGAAATGATCCACAAGCACAGCGACATTTATTCTACGTGGAAGAATCAACACTCCTCCGCTTTATCTGAATGCAGAAGTAAAGAGAACAAATGAGCTGTGCAATAATTTGAATTGAGTTTCTCTAAGAGAGCACAGGCAGATAAGACTTGACACCAGCAAAACTCTTCCACGCTTCCCCAAATTACTGCAATTTCTGTCTTGTTCTCATTTCCAAGCAGGTTTGAGCCAAGCCAGAACCAAATTAGATAGGAATAGTTTATATGAGAGCTACACGGAGAGATTCTAAACAAAGGACAAATCAGCTCTTCCTAAATAAAAAACGAGCTCATCAAGGGTATGTCTGCATTTTCCATTTCCAGCAGCAGAATGCAGTCGCATAAAAATCCCTCAGAGACACAAGAGAATGAGCTCACTGGGCCATGCACCAAAAGACTCCTTCAAGGAAACAAATAACAAACAGGAATATGCACATTTTGTTGGATATACCAAGAACTAGAGAAGAGGCATCTTAGGTTAAAACCTGAGCATAAAGCATGTGCTCCCCTAAAAGTGGCAGATACTTGCTCCAAAGGACAAAATACATATTCATGGATGACAAAAGGGTCCTAAAGCTAAAGATCTCAGAACAGCAAATCCCAGAGCCAAAGTCAAGGCAACTTGTGCTCAAACTGCCTACAAGCCAAAACTGCCTATGATTTAATGAGCAGGTTGGAGCAGCCTTGAGAAGTCACCATGAACCAGCTCTGGTACTAAGACCATCTGCCCAGTCCTGCCATGTTGAAAACATCTATAATATTTTTTATTGTCAGCAAAGAAGAATTTGTCAGAAAAGAGGCACTAGCATGGCAGAAAAGGAAACATCTCCTAGGCAGCAGAATGAGTGCTCCCAGCAAAGGCTGTGTGAAGCAGAAAGAGGAACTCCCTGAACAACACTTCTCATTATTCGGCTTCAACACAACCACTCCAGTGGCCTTTAAAATGGCTATTACCTGCCACAAGGTATAAGTGAGACTATAAGCAAATGACTTAAAATAGCACAAAAGGAGAGAAAATCCTTTGAATCCCTCCACTGACACATTTGCAACCTTAATTTTCCATCTTGAGCTCAGCTTTTATGAGCCAAACTTACATGTTAAACATGACTTCAAAACACAGCACTGTTTCCCTAAAGACAACACTAAGCCATTGCTAGAAAGAGCTACTTGCTGTTGGAAATAAAGCAGGGAGTTGGTGTTGGTGTCTACACATCTTGTTTATCCCAGAAGGGAACTCGCAAAGTGATAGATGTGGCCGAGCTGGGCGTTTTAGTCTAAGCCCTTAGTTACAATGGCTTGGGATTCCTCCTCCACCTCTATTATCTTTGGGATTGAAAATTCTCATGCTTGTTTAAAACTGAGAAGCAATTTTTCTGGAAGGTTTAAAGAAAATCCATTTCTCATTTATTCTGCATTTATTCATAGCCTCTAAAAAAATTGTACAGTTGTTTCGGGGTCAGATGTCTGAACAGTTTTTGAGCTTTCAGACTAAGATCTCAGACCCAGATGTTACAATTTATTACATGCCAACTGCATGGAGCCACACTCAAGTCAGCAGAGCTCAGCTCAGGGTCAAGGCTTGCCTATGTAGAGGGCCTTGGTAAGAGGGCAGTACAGGGAAATCCACGCAGACAAATAGAAAAGTGTCACTTAAGCAACTAAACGGAAACAGAATGCCACCCTCTGTGTTGCATCACAAACACTTTTAGCATTTGCTTCACTGGAAATACAGCCTGGGCCTAAAAATAACTGTGAATAAGAACCAAAGTAGTGTTACTTTAGGACCGGCTATTACTTTTTTGCTGGCTTCTGAGTTCATGTGATGGCTGGTCCCAGGCTGCTATTGTTCAGGATACTAAACATCTCTCAGCATTAAGTGAGCACTAACCAATGCCAGCAGTAACCACTGCTTCTACAATGGAGCATTCTCCATTAAAAGCACTCTGGGATGACAGGCCAGCAAACTGCATATCTGGAATCTCCTTGTGTTGCTTATGATAGACTTATTTGTGAACAGAACTGAGCAGCTTCTCACTATGAAACTTCACTGAGGGCAAAGAAATGTTATTTTGCCAGGTCATATGACAGTCCTTCCAAAACTGATAATTCCCTACAAGCAGAAGGTGCTGGGTAGGTTTAAATTCCTGCACTGTACATCCCCGCCACTGTATTCTCACAGGTGCTCCCCTTACAGGCATTGTCCAGGAATGCACATGATTAGGCAATACGACACAGGAGCTTTAGCTCCCTGTAATCCCATGCCAATCTCCCTGTTGCTGTGTTCACACAATGTGCTGTTCTATGCTGCCCCCTCCCCTCCCACAAAAGACAAGAACACTTCAACGAGGGAGAGTCTAGAGACCAAATGCTTCTTGCAGGAGTTTTCCAGAGTGGCGCCATTTTTAGACACTGCCATGTCTTTAAGCACTAGAACTTTTTACTTACGTGGTAAGGAATTTTCTGCATGGGCTGCAACACAATCTGTATATTTAAAAAGTGAGGAAAGGGAGAAAACCTCTTACTTACCCAACACGCAAACCTACCTCCTTCTGAGAGACGTCAAGCTCTCCACACTCGTGTAGTCTCTTTAGCACAGCCGAGGTGTCAGAAAGGGCCTCTGAGAAAACATTTTCATGCTCAAGCAGGAAATCCAGTTTACAGCTTTTGCTCCCTGACTCTGTGCATGAGAACAAGATGAGTTATTTGCCGACTGAATTTTTGGTTGTAGCCATGTTGTTCTAAGGACACGGGCAGGCAAGGTTCTTTGAGTAGATGTGATATCTTTTATTAGATCAACTGAGTAGTTGGAAAAAAGTTCTTAGCAAGCTTCTGAGTGCAGTCCCCCATCCTGAAGAGCACAGTCACCTTCACCTGAAGAAGGGTGACTGTGCCTGAAAGCTTGCTAAGAACTTTTTCCCATCTACTCAGTTGGTCTAATAAAAGATATCACATCTACTCAAAGAACGTTGTTCGCTGATTGAAGGACTTTTCATAAATATGTGACTGAACAGCACCAATTTATAGCCAACATTTTGTAGACCACAAGGAAAACCTGTTTGACAGATCCTTTTTGAAGGTGACATGCAGCCCGCAGGGGGAAAAGTGCATTTGACACAGCTTGCAAATGGAATATTTACGTTGAATCCAGGGCAACATTTATTTCTTCACATGCTAACCAGGAGTTTGAAAAGATAAGCTATTAACAGGCTTCTCTGCTCACCTGTCTTTATGCAGATTGCTTTACCTCTGCATTGAACATGGCCTTGCCTGTACATGTCAGATGCAGAAGCATACATATAGGCTAGGCAGGCTTTGCTCAGAGAAGCTCAGGTGAGTGGTATGAGAACAACGTCAGGAACCAGACTTTATGAGCATTTACACACATGCTCTGGGATGGAGGGGAAGGGGCGAGCTTTAGTTAAAGCACCCTGCCACCATTCTGAAGTATGGGGATGCTGAATATGTGACAGAGGCTGCTGCAGCGCTCTATTTAGCGTGCTCCAGATGACACACAGCAGACTCAATTAATCGATTCTGCTCCAACGCGTGCTAATTAGCATGTCAGAGTAGAGGTCCATCGTGTGTATAGGTTCCGTATAATGCACCAGAGGGATGTGTTGGGTTAAAGAGGAAGAGGATCCTTGCTATAGAATTGCGCAATAGCAGATGGACCCCTTTATAAAATAAAGAGAACAGAAAATAAAGAGAAATAAACTCAACCTCCACCCATGCAATAGGGTCCCATTGAGTAGTTCAGTCAGTAGAATAACTACCGACAGACAATCAGTGTGAGAGACCCACTTGCCAAGGTAAAGAGGGCTCCAGTGATGGGACGTGGAGCAGCATTCACAGAAGGGATGGAGGTCAAGGCCAGTGCCACCAAATTCAGCATTGCTACAGTCTAGTGGTGATGGGATTTGGCAGCATGGAGCCATGGCGGGAGCTCTAGGGGGTATTAATCCTGTCTGCTGGTGGCTCTGCTGTCAATTCTCCCTGGCAGCAGCAGCATCTCTGTGGTTTGTGCCCAGGGTTCAAATCTTATCACAGTTATACCTGTGACCTCAACTGAAAATTGCTGGAGACAGAGTTATGACCAGGCCCAGAGTCTCTCACCTGGATCACCAACTCTTTCTTTCTTCTCCAGAGGCTCAGCAACCACTTCTTCACAGCTCTCCAGTCTAGCAGGAGATTGGGGGTCAGCAGGGGCATGTGCATCCTCATCAAGGGATCTGGAGTCACTTGGGTTTTCCTCTTCCAGAACCTCCTCCTGCACAAAGGTGTGATTCATGATAATTTCCTGCACAGAGGCAGAGGTGACAGCTTCCACTTCAGATTCTGCAGGGCCAGGAGACACTGGAACCTCTTCTGGAGGCTGAGCCTCTGTCATACCATCAGCAGGAGGGCTTTTGGTTTGGGCTGAATCGCTAGCTTCGATAGATCCAGATGGCTCTGTCAGACCAGAGGTGTCCCTCGCTACCTGCTCCTGAGCAGAACAGCTGATGAGGTCTCTGAGGAGGTTTTTGCAGCTAACGGCCACGTCAAACATCTGCAGACTGTCCGCCACAGAAATGACTTTGGTAAAGTTGTGTTTGCCAAGCGGGAGCTTGCCAGTATACATCATTTCTAGTAGGAGAGCAAACTCATCAGGAGCCACCACAGAAGCATCAATGGAGATGGTATCCGTGCTATCCAGAACAGACTTAAAGAGCAGACTGGCAGCAGCAAGCACAAGCTTATGTGCTCTGAAATGCACAGTTCCAATAAAGATGGTGCAGTCACAGAACTGCTGTTCTTTGCAGAGAGCATACAGCTGTTGTAGCAACTGTCTGCTGTAATTGGGAAGATCCATGGCTCCAGCGGCCTCTTGGCCTCTTCCACCTTCACACTGCTTTTACAAGAACCAGCTAAAAATGAAATAAAAGAACCTGTTAGCACTTTTCTGAGCCAACAGCAAGGCAGAAAGCAGCAGTAAACTAAACTATTTTTAATGCAAGTTTTCCATTAGCTTTAAAAGGATTAATCCAGCATTATAGCAGGAATAGCTACCGCAGTTAACGATGCAGAACAGGTTTCTTCACTGA